TTTCCCTTGTAAGCATTCCCATTTTCACCCCCTACATCCACTAAAGAATTAGAAAAGAATGTCAAACTTGTAATACTGGCTATCTGGTAAACAAGAAAGGCTTATAAACAGCAAAGAATTGAGTGGGGATAGCCTAGTCACTTATCTATTCTTAGTGGAAAAATACTTGGACTTTGATGATTGATTCATTGTAGTTCTTCCATTATTGCTGTATTATACCTTGTATAGGGGCCTAATCCATCATCAATATGGGTTAGAAATTAATTATCATTCAGCTGGTATGTTGAATCAAACTATAACCGGAGGAACATACACTATGTAAGAATTTTCAGTATGAACATACAATATGTCCTTTTGCCTCTTGATTGCTTTCTTGCATGATTGCTTTAAATATCTTTTATCCATATTATTCTGTGGTAGTATCTTTCCATGATATTCATAACTTCATATTTCAATAAAGTAATTATATAGCTGACATATAGTGAGGTGGGAGAAGATAAAAAGTTAAATGTATTACTCCTAAAGGCAAGCGTAATGTCTGTACTATTGATTTTGCTTGGTTTTTGCCAATACAATGCTCCGAGTCTCTAATTGCTTTGTTGGGTTGTGAAAACACTTCTCATATTAATCTTCTATTAACCTTCTTTCAGGCGTTTCATTGCCGCAGGGGAAAAGCATACCTATTCAATAATGCGTGAGTACATTTCAGTTTTTATTGGATAATCCATTAGTGATTAAGAAATTAAAATTCATTAGCTTTGTAGCATGTATGACAAGATAACATGCCTGAGGCTCAGGTTTTTAATATATTCATTTTACTAAATGAAAATGCATCTAACATATTTTTTGTACTCCCAACAATCCAGAAGATATGATGGTCATGTTATGCAAAAGTCAAACGTATATGAAAATTGCATTCTGTAATACACAAAGAGCACTATTTTTTTTTTATTATCTTTGAAAAGAAATCCTTCACCATCTTTTCACAATATTAAGTTATTAACTGAATATAAGCCGAATGCAGTCACATATTTGCATACCAATTTAAGATGAGGCATGTTGATAGAAACTATAAATCAGGATAATATTCAACTAAGAGGAATGGAGCTCAGATACTTGCAGAAGAGAAAATTTGTCTGAAATCAACAGTAGAAGCAGTAGACAACCCCACACTGCTGAAAGCCTGAAACGAGTCACAGAGGAATGTAGAAAACTGACAAAATGTAAAAAAGAGTAAGAAAAGAATACACATCAAGGACTAATGCATATTCCTCCTTCAGTCCTTCTGGCCAAGGTCCTCCCTTCTATGATTTCCCCCGTCATTACACTTATGATTCTCCAATTCTGTTCCCCCTATCTCCATTTGTCAACTGTCCCTCTGATAGGCATTTATCTCTTCCAACAAATTTCTCCACACCTAGATTTCCTTCCTTCATCATTTTTTTGGTTCTTGTCCCATTTAAGGCTTCTCCTTCTCTCACTCACTGACAGGCCTTTACTACTATACCTGCTTGGGATACACTTAGTAACTTCTCTTGTGTCGTCTTCTGCATGTAGCAAGTAATCTGAAGTCTCTGGAGGGTGGGAGTACCTGCAAAGGGACTCCATAGCTTATGTAAGAGCTCGGATCAGAGTAATAAATGCATATTTAATAAGTGAACACTGCAATAACGAACAGTATTACTACCTGATCTGTCCCCTATTTACACTAACTTTATTGGGTGTTGCACATGATTACCGATTAGGGAATATGGTGTTAATGTGGATTAAGATTTACTTGCCTTAAGTAATCTCATATGGTGACCAAACGTGTTATTACCTCGGTCTTTTCAAAGGCCAAAGTAGTGCTATAGGGTGTTTGGCCTTCTGGTAGGCCAAGTGGGTTGGAGAGTGCTCGGCCTTCTCAGAGGCCAAATGGGGTTGTTGAGATATTTGATTATCCGAGGGACTGAATCGTTAAGGGAGTCTTTGGCCTTTCGGGGCCTGAGTATGCATTGGTTTCTTGGACAACTGGTATTTGGTGACTAGGAGGCATGTCTGGTATACTTGGACAACCGGTATCCGGTGACTGGGAGGTGTGTCCAGCATAAATACAGTTTTTCTTTCCTCTCCTATGTATGTGGGTTCACGGCCAACACATTTCAACTGATTGCACTGTGCATTAGTTATAATTTTAAATATGCCAACACATACAGATTAGAATGGATGTTACTTTTTGAATATTTTTTGATTTTATTTTTTGCATATAATCTAGTATTATGGATTAAATGTTAAATTTATGTTTTGAAAGAATTCCTACAGGGAAAAATTATTAGCAACATACAAACAAGTTAATAGCAAAAAATGCTTTAAGGCATTGATAGCCTTCCAATTCTTTTCACGTGAGTTCAAAAACTGTATAGTACAGTTGCTTGGGAAAATTGATCCGTTGGAGTAATTTTCTTGGCTTGAATTCTCCTTTTGTGATTTGATTGGAAAAGTATGTACATGCTTGAATGCATTGAACGTTTAAAAATCCATGTGACTGGCATCTACTGATCGAAGTTTTGATTGCTAGTAATAATACATAAATATTTGTGAGTTTTAAGAAGCTGGACAGCCAATGCATTACCGTGCATTTATTTTTCAAAGATATTATTTAATCCTATCTGCATAAATATTTGCTAGTAATAATGCATTACCATGCATTTATATTTCTGAGTTTTTTCCCAGTAAATCTTTATCTAAAATATTTGTTGAAGATATTATTTAATCCTATTGCAATTTTTCATGCTTTAGTAGTTGTTTCGTCTTCCTTCATGTCAATAGACATACAGCTTATTTAAGCACAATGAATGATAATTCAGAAATTCCAGCCTTCAACTTAGGCCCTAATAAATCTCCTCATTTTTCTTTCTGACAGCACTGCTCTTTTATTCAACATCCTTTTTTTTTTGCAGACTCGATTTTAGATTTATTTACTAATTACAATGACTGCCTAAGGAATTGGATTCATGAGTTTACAATGATCCAGAAATAGCCTAATCTTTATATATTATTGGCACAAGTTTCTTATGAGCTGGTTAGAACTTGATGATGTTCAAAAGAGTATAGCAGATATGGTGCAGTGTTATACCGTGCTGCATCTAATCATGGGCTGACATAATAAATCTATATAAATTTATTCCAAAATTGTTTAATTCGTAGGTTTTTTGTCTTTAGTAAATAATCCTGTGAAGGGAAGCCAGTAACTTTTATGTGTCAGCTGTTCAAAACAGGTATGTTTTTACATTGTGTCTGCTAACATGTGCCTTTCTTTGTTTTAAAATTGTTAATTGTTTTATTCCCATTTGATTTCTTGGTCCCCTTGTTAATTTGAGCCTTTTAGCATATTGAGTTAAGAAACAAAGTAAGTAAGACGAATTGCGTTTACATTTGGTTTTGGACCTTTTGGTTAATATTTGTTCCTTCATTTTTGCTTCTAAGTCAACTAATTTATGCTATTGGAACTGGAACCCCGATGCATTTGCTCAAACGTCAGTACAAGGAACATGCCTAAACAGAAACTAAAGCTGTTTTAAGATGACTGCATTTTGTGTAATAAAACTTCTAACATGATATCCATGCACCAATGTCTTTGGCATCTGAAAATGCAAAGAAACAAATAATCAATGTATTGCACCTTGGTATATAAGCCTCTTTGGTTTGAGGTCACATTTATAAAACTACTTGTTTGCCCATTAAGTAAATAAAAGTTAGAGAATTATTTTGAATGTCATTATTTGTTGAAAATATCACTAGGCCTGAATATTCTATACTGTATCTGTGATTCAGTGTGAACTTCACAATTGGAGCATCAGAAGAAAGGATGATGCTTTCAGGATTACATACTGTGGCAGATATTTTTTGCTGTTGCTGTGGTCAAATAATTGGTTGGAAATATGTAATCCTCCTCTCTTAGCCTCTCTGGATTTCGTGTAATCTGGAATCAATGTTACAGATGAAATTTCTTAGATTTTATGCTGGATTAGGTGTCCAGAGTAATTTAAATTCTTCATTCTGTGTCAACCTTCATTCTTTAGTTCAAGTTAGTTGTTAGCTTGCCACATAATTTTTTAAATTTTACTATCTCTCTCAGGAATCTGCACACGAGAAGAGTCAAAAGTATAAAGAAGGGAAGTTTGTTCTTGAAAGGTATTATTTGTTTTCCTATTGGCTATAATTTATTGGTTAAGGCAATTTTGTTGCTCTTTTTCCGTTATAGTGTTTATACTAAGTATGCATATCCTCTGTGTCAATGCAACAGAGGAAGGATTGTTGATGAAGTTGATTTCTCAGCTGAATTCTATATCGATAGTCGTGCCTGCATGAGTGATACTGAAGATGCTTAAAACATGCTAGCCTTGTTGGATAAGGAGAAAGAATGTACTACTTGTGTGTATGGACAATAATAATGGTGACCTGAGAAAGTGTTCAAAATTAATATAGATTATTTTGGTTTTAGTTTTTATTTTACTTTATTTTTAGTAGTACATGAAAATTGAAAATGAGAGTTGTCAAATGTCAATGGTGTGTAAAAGTAAAACATTGGAAAAGAAAGAGATGAAATGGTAATTTCAGATTTTCTGCAAAATATTTGGCTCTTTACTTGGTGTCTGTATAGAACCTCTTCAAAGGTGGAGGCAGTTTGAACCTTTTTTGTTGATTAGCTTATGACTGTCCGAACCTGCCAAACAGTCAACATATTTATTCACTTCATGTTGGATATGTTTAAAAGAGACAAGACAAGGCTAGGAGACTTTTTATTTCTCACAAACAATCCTTCATGGTATGTAGAGAGAGGAGTTTGTCATTGAGGTTGCGTACCACATCAATTACCTCCAAGCAATCTGATTCACAAACAACCTTCCCATAATCCAACTCCCAGGCATGAGATAAACCATCTCTAATAGCTAGGAGTTCTGCTGAAAAAGAATTTCCTAGGCCATATAGAATTGAGAGAACTTAAAGATCCATTCTCCCCTAGCCCCACGAACAACACCTCTCCCGCCCATAGCATCATGAGCAAGCTAAGTGTCATCCACATTTAGTTTAAACGTTTAGAACAGCTTATGTTGTGCTTGGATTAGAAGTGAAATTGAGGAAAGATAGAAGTAAAGAGATATGTTTGAATAGATAAAAATAAGAAGAAAATAAATGGAGGATTCTTTTTGATTGTTTGGACAATAAAAAATTGGAAAATTGCACTCAACCCTCCTACACTGTATTTAAATGATATATACATCACCTCACCTCTGGTTTTTAAAAATCACTCATCTTCTTGAATAAAATTATTAATTAAAGTGAGAAAAGGAATAAAAATAAAAGTTAGGTCATATTTTTGTCAATCATATGCATGTCTATTATTTGTTTTTAAATTATGTATAAAGGTTACATCTTTTTTTTTATTTTTTATTTTTTATTATTTTTTTATGAAAGCTTCATTATTCTACAATTTTGAAAATAATAATTTCTTAATTCAGTATTTAAAATTATTTCTTGTATTTTTAAAATCACAATGTACACATTATTTATGATATAATTTGTGAGTTAATAGTGAGTAAGAGATCAAGTTTCATTTAATTGTTGACACTTGTATTTTTTACACGATTTTTACTATATTTATAAATTTTTTTAGTTCCAACATCTATTATGTTAAAATCTTTTTATGCATGTGAATTTAATGAGACAAATTTAATGTATTGCATCAGTCAAAAAATTATTCAATATTATGAAAAAAATAAAAATCATCATTATTTTGAAACGCCCAAATTGATATAAAATTAGAAGATAAAATATCAAATGAATATAAAAATTAAGATAAATAACTAAAAGTATAATTTAACCTATAAAATTGTATTATAACTTATCTTAATGTTTTATAAAATAAGGGATATATTTTTGTACCCTCCTAAATATATCTACACCTTTCAGGCTTGAAACTAATAGATAAGTGTATCTTTCCGGATATATTTCAATAGGATCATTCTAACATGGTCTACATGGAGAGTGTCTCGACATAATCCCTACGCCCTCAAGGACAGGGTCATTACATGGAGAATGTCTTGACCTAACCCCTATGCCCTTTAGGCTTGGGATTGGTGAGTAAGTGTATCCTCCCAAATTTTTTTTGACATGGTGCTATCTTTCGTATGTATTTTCATTAGGTCAAACCAAGAGGAGGTTGAAACCAGTCTAACCTCTTTACCTATAAGTCACTAATTAGACTAAGGATGGAGGTAGCCGAGGTTAATATGATCCTTTATATATAATATATAGTCGATCAAATATGCTTAAAGATTATTGGAATTGACCTGATATTTGAATCTAATGACAAAATCCTATATTAATAACAACCAAGATTACGCATTAGTGAATAATGGTCTTATGAAATTAAAATTCTTGAAACTCATAAATCCATAATAATCAAGTATAAAAATCCCAATCTTAGTTTACAAGAGGATAAAATATACTTTTGAATGTTGTAATTTTAGTTGAATGACTAGATTATCCTTAGTACCAGTGTTTTAAAACCCGGACCGACCCGGCCGGTCGGATACTTGCATACCTAATTGATTTTGATACTAGTGTGTATTTTAATCGATTTATTTTAAAATTTTATTGTTTTACAGTATCGTCAGATTTTTTTTTTTCTGAAAATAATATTTTCTCATAATTAATCTTTTCAAACATGCTCCAAATACAACCTACCTAACCTTCATAATCTAAATTTAGCGTGCTATATTTCTGCCCACCATGTCGGCATCATATCAATAAAAAAGATTAGATGTACTAAGTTCTAACCAGTATTTTTAAAATATTGATTAAAATTATTAAAAGTTTAATCACGTTAACAATCACGATAAGGATATATTAATAAAATTCTACGAAGTAATATATTTATTAAAAATATTATGCTTTAATTAGTATCTTCAACTTCAAGACACTTATTAACATCGATCATTGGTCAGTAATTAGTTAATGTTTTCCTTTTTTATTTTTATTTATTTTTTATCTTATCTTATAATTGAAATTTTGAGACTAATTTTTACTCCTCCTTTTTAAATTATTGACTTCTCTTACAGATACTTTTCACACAGATGTAAGGATTAATTGTTATTCTCTTATACTAAAAATATTTTTTAACGGAGAGTTATTACATACCAGATCCTTTCAAATGTAAATATCACCTCACCCATGTATGTTTTGTTTCTCTCCACAAGTTTTCTTCATTTGCATAATTACAAAAATAAAATCTCCAACAACATAATTAAGAAACCAGACTATATACCAATTTACTGGACTTATTATTATTTATAATTAATGGAGAATGAAATTCTTAACAACATACTTAAAAAAATAAAAATATCTAAATTTATACCATTATTTTAGAAAATAAGTGGTGTTGTTGAATTGTGATAACTTGAACATCACAATATAGTAATTTGATATAGGTGGTTGATTCTCATAGTCAAAACTCAAAACCCAAAACGAGAGAGAAAGGGGTGCCCCAAAAAGTCATTGAGATGCAACACGAGGCAGCAAGCAAAGCAGGCATTATTTTATTTATTTATTTATTTATTTATGTGGTGCAAGTAATCAAGAAGGCAGAGGAAGTGAAATAGTACTAAAAAGAAGGAACAGTGTGAGTGCGTGCGAGATTAAGGTGTCACGTGCGCACGTGCCGTGCCAGTGAGTCGGTGCATCGTTTCTCATAAACAACAACGTAGCGCACGAATTGCGGGGTTGCTGCGCCCACTCCCACCACGCGCTCCAGCTTCACGCGCGGAGATTCCTGCAGGGTTTTCTGAAACCCGAACTCGTTCAAACGGAGCGTGTGTTACACGATCATGAATCCGCGCGTGAGTGTGAATGTTGGATGCATCAGTCTAAATCCTGGGTGTCTCTCTCCTCCGTTTTGGACGGCCCAGGCCACGGTCTGGTCCCCACGACAGTATTTTTGGTGGGACCCACTTCGAATTGCTTAAACCCCTTTTTATAAACCCTAACCCTAATCCTTAATGACCCAAAGAGAACCAATTCTCTGCATCAACGTTTTCAAGGAAATTTGATTTGACAGTTGTAATAACTAATAAGGATTTAACGCCTCTTAAGCAAAGAAAAGCAATTATTATCAACCAAGGTGTGCATCAATTTGTGCTTAATCATGACTATCACAGTTAGGTATATAGTTGTGTCAAGTATCTTGAGAGAAAAAAATTTGTTGATTATATATAAATTTTAATTATTTGGCTACAGTAGAATTATTTATTGTAAAAGATACATGTAATTTTATACTATAAATAAATAAATTTAAATTTTAATTGAAAATAATAATTCATACTTACATATGATTATGATCATTATCACTAATTAAATATCTTTATTTAAAAGAGATAAATCATGACAAAAACGTATTTATTTATATATATCGATACAGATGTTAATTCACAATTTTTATATAATTTGATTATTAAATTAAAATTGATTTTATGTTATGTTAATACGCTTAAATTTTAATTACATCACTTGTATATGATGTACTAATACAATATGAAAACTGCGTTATTATTTATTTGAGAGTTGAGAGTGTCATAATTTATATTATAGTTTGCTTCAATCGATCAGCCTCTGTTGAATAAATGATCACTCTTTTCTTTATTTAATAGTGTTGGTTAAGATATTAACATTTAAAAACAAAATAAATAGTTATTTTTTGACAGTATAGTTTATACAATAAATGTCCAGTCTTAGTTTCGAGATTGTGATGTGAGCAAACTGAGTAGGTGCCAAAGTTTAATTGTATATAATATTTGTGAACTAAATCTTCTGGGATTTTCACTTATATCTTGTCTTTAAGTTAGCTTGTATATGGGACAAAAATCAGCAACTCATATGCATATGCATTAACTAAGCATTATCTCACAACATGAATTTCACTAAACCTTTTTGTTTTGTGTGTTCCAAGTCTAGTCACAATTGTTGAATTCACAATAATAAGCGCAAATAGTGAATTGTATGTTAAAGGGGTGCCCCAAAAAGTCATTGAGATGCAACACGAGGCAGCAAGCAAAGCAGGCATTATTTTATTTATTTATTTATTTATTTATGTGGTGCAAGTAATCAAGAAGGCAGAGGAAGTGAAATAGTACTAAAAAGAAGGAACAGTGTGAGTGCGTGCGAGATTAAGGTGTCACGTGCGCACGTGCCGTGCCAGTGAGTCGGTGCATCGTTTCTCATAAACAACAACGTAGCGCACGAATTGCGGGGTTGCTGCGCCCACTCCCACCACGCGCTCCAGCTTCACGCGCGGAGATTCCTGCAGGGTTTTCTGAAACCCGTAGTACATTTTTCAAATTGAAACAATAATGTTAATTGATCAATTTATTTTATTATTGTTGTTAAATTTATTAAGTAAATGTACCATTGAATAACTGAATCACTTGATTTATTATGAGTTTTATAACATTTTTAAATATATTTAATCATAAAATTTAAAATATTTAAGATAAACAAAATAAAAATAATTTATTTTTTAATAATATGACGGATCAACTCAATCCCATGTATCATTGGATTTAATTGAAATTTTAAACCTAGTAAAAAAATGGGTTCAACATAACATAGCGCAACTCAATTTTCAGCGTATTAGGTTAAATTAGACCGTTTGATATTCCTAATTAAAATGTTACTTTAAAAATAAATGTTTAAAATTAAAGCGGATTGATAATGATGAAGATGAATCTTCCCACATAAAGCGAGAGAAAACCCATTTGGCGGAAGAGTTGGTTCTGAATTCTGAAAGGGTTGCGATTGAAAAAAAAGAGAGATTGGCCAATTGGGTTTGTTCGTTAAGAAAAAAGCATCCACATTTCTTACACCCTTTGCCTTTTTCTACAATTCCTCCTCCACTATTCACACCTTTTCTTTTCTCCCCACACTTTCTTCTTCCTCATTCTTTTTCCAGGTTTTGTTTTGCAGGTCGCTCCAATGGACAAATCATCACTTTCACTCAAGAAGAAACGTTCTAAGAAATCCTCCAAGGTATTCTACTTTTTTATTGTTATTATTTGCATTTTAGGGTATAATTTTAAGTTTCAGATTTATTGCGATCTCATTTATCTGATTTTAGGGAAAAGAAACGAATGTTTTGTTTCTGTTATTGCTTGTGTCTTGTGAACTGAAATTTTGTCATTCTGTGTGTGAATCATGTACCAAAACTGATTAGGATTTTTTTTTAATGGGGTTCTAGGTTTTTTTTTGTTCATCGTGAATATGTCGATTATTTACGTATAGTTTGGTTGTTGAGCTTTCTAACCCGTGTGTATAGTTTTTGGGTTGATCGGTTTAACTGAGTTTTGATTTTCCTGTTTTTGTCATCACAAAAATGTAAACTTGTTTTGATTTTATGCTTATTTCGATGGTTTAGTCCAAGGCAAGCAGTAAAATTAAGAAGAGTAGGAAGCATAAATCTAAGAAAGTTCGACGCCGTGAGGTCTCTCTTTCTAGTTCTGACTATGATGATTCTAAAAGTTTGGACACATCGGCTTCCACAAGTTCTGGAGATAGTTACAGAAGAAGAAGGGATAGGTCTCGCACGAGAAAAGATGGGAAAACTCGTAAGAGGAAGGGTCGGGGACGATCTTATAGCCGAGACAGCAGTGAGGACTCTCATCATGCTAGGAAGAGAAAAAAGGCAAAGATGAAGAATGAGCATGATGTGGTGAGGAAGAAACCCCTTAAGAAGAAAAAGATTAGGAGAGAAGCAAGTGTTGATTCATTTAGCAGCAGATCACGGAGCTGCTCTACATGTCAGGATGAGAGTGCTAGCAGAGATGACAGTCAATATAAGAGCCGCAGGGGAAGATCGGAAAGAAAAGAGAAAGACACAAGAAGATCAAGAAGAAGTGGAAGTAAAAAGAGTAGTAGATACAGGGCCAGAAGTTGTTCTTCCTGCAGTCCCTATAGTGAAAATAGTTATGAAGTGACTGAGGAGAAATATCTAGGCGAGAAAAATTCCAGGTGGCTCCGATCTGTTATTACCGTTACAAAAGAGGCAGAAGAATATGGGGAATTTTGTACAAATGAAACCAAGGAGGAGATTGTTGATGATCACGATTACCCTTGTAGAAGTAATGACAGTAATGATGGGGGCATGAAGAGAGAGTTGGATCATCATACACTTACATCAGAAGAGAAATTGAGAGTTGAGGATGAGGTAGTAGATATGAACACTGATCTCAACTTCCCAGAGCCCAAACTTAGAGATACGAGCTACAATGACAGCAACAACCTTAAAGCTTATAATGCTGGGACAAGTGAATCTACGAGGGAAACAAGCGAGACATTTGGCGCTAATGTGAGTGATATTGACTTGGAGTTAATTCTAAGGCAAAGAGCATTGGAAAACCTTAGAAAGTTTCGAGGTGAGATTCAGTCTAGTGCAAATGCTCCCGATCAGAAAAATAAAATTGTTAGCCAGGTGGAGCATCCAATTACTGATACACATGAATTGGTTCAAGGTAAGTCTGTTGTCAATGATGCAGTTGTAGGAACAAAATTTGATAAGCGGACCACTGGAGAAGAAACTAATTTGCCTGTTGGGAGAAGTTTAATTGCCTGTCCAAGAAACAACGAAAATATTTTAAATATGGATAAGGAAATATCTGGTTCCTCTAAGCCTCATTTGGCATGTGCACGAGACAACCCTAGTGGAACAGTTACTGAATCCACTATTTTCAACACAGCCAATTTAGAATTGATCAAACAAACACAAAGATCTTGCCATGATTCACTTATAACATCTGCTTCACATGAATCCACCAATTCAAAGTTCCCGGTGACAGAGGGTGATGTAGAAAGGAATGCAGCTATGACTACTGAAGCTGCAATCCAGAGTATTAATGACAATGGTAGAGATGGTAATGTTTCATCAGTAGAGAATACATCAGGTAAATTGCAAGATGAATCCAACCAGGGTTCCCAGTTTGAGCAGAAAACAATGACTGTGATGCGGGGTGGTGAAATGGTACAGGTGCGTGTGTTAATCTTTCCAATATTCTGAATGTTACTGACTAATGTTGGCCCTAAAATATGGTATGTAATCCTTTCCTTTACTTTTCCTTTTTTATTACTATTAATTTGTGAATGTGCAGGTTAGCTACAAGGTCTATATCCCTAAGAAAGTCCCTGCTTTGGCTAGAAGGCAACTTAAGCGATGATCTTCTGTCTGCTTTTCTGGTGAAGACAGGGCTTTTGTTGTGTTCATCTTGTTTGACACGTGAAAAGGGTAGAGACATATGCAAGAAAGTATAGAAATGAAGAGATTTGCTATGGACTCATCCGTATATGAACTATAAGAACCATCAATTTCTCTTTTTAGTTATATTTTTGGTAACATTTGTGTTGGTAGGTTATCTGAATGTGATCTGTCACAATAATATTAATGCAATGCAACCATTGCAACATAAAGAAGACCTTTAGTATTTCTTTTTGGTGGAAAATGAAAGACCTTACCAAAGTCTGCTGTCATCTGCTCACAAGTTCTCTCAGATGATATAATGTGTTTAATCAGTTTATTTGAAGGAAATACTCCCTTATTTTTTAGAACTTTTAAAAAATATTTATTTGACATTTTAGCAAAAAAATATATTCTATTTTGATTGTTATTTTATAATATTAATGAAGTATTATTATTTTTATATCTTTAAACTTTTATTGGAGAGTGAGAAAATAAAAAATAAAAAAGTATGAATAGGGGTGATTTAATATGAAAAGATCTGAGGTATATTAAAAATTTATTATACTGAAATTTAAATTATTACTTTCGGTATGTGTGTGAGAGAATGGATAGATGAATTTAAAAAGTATGTTTGCACTAACAAAATTGCATAGACTATTTTCATCAATAAAGAATTTCTCACCTGGCAGCATGTCACAAATGAAAATGCTAAATATTAGTCAGTGTTGAGAGTTAACCGAAGGCATCGGACAAAACACAAAATAATGAAATGTCATTCTTTTAGTAGTATCACATTCTAACAGTATATCATGGACATCATCGAATGTCATTTGGGATGATCAAACACAATCAATTAACAAGTGTCACGTTGACATAATTATAATAAGGACAAAAAAAAAAAAACAATTGTCAACTTTTTGAGAGATAAAAATAAAGATTTTTTTTTAATTATGAGGAATAAGCTTAAAAACTTATTGTGTTTACTTGATTAGGATAAATGTATGAGAAATTACATTCAACCTTAATTGTCATCTTTATAATCCTTTTTAGAGATAAAAAAAGTTAATGATGATTGATGATATCTGTAAAAAAATTTACCCAATCAATAAAAAAATAAATTTATATGACTTTTTAAGGTAATAATTATAAAATCAATAAATTTATCATTTATATAAATCGTGATTAAATAGTACATTACCCTTAAATCCTAAAATAATAAAAAAAATTAGATTGATTAAGGAATTTGCAACAAAAGTTTGAATTTAAAAAGAAGAAAAAAAACATATAGAAAAGTTTTTTGGGTAATATATATTTTTTTGACAGCAATTTATTTGGTAACAATAAATAAATAATATGAAATGGCATGATATGAAAAGAAATAAGTAGAATAAAATTTAGCATTATTTGCAGAAGGTTGATTAATGCTATTTGTGTTGTTTTTCCTGATGGTATTTAGTTGGATAATTTGTGAAAGAAAAGGCGAGTGTGGCGTTAGGGAAGAGCAATGGTGTTCTCTTCCAACCCCTTATCCCTCAGCGTCCCGGAACCCGCCTTCGAGTCGTGGCTCCGCGACACCGGCTACCTGGAAGTCCTCGACCACCGCACCTCCTCGGCCGCCGCCGTCTCCCCCGCCCCCTCGTCCTCCGGCTCCGGGCTCTTGTCCCGCCTCCTCACCTTCCTCTCCCTCTTCACTCTCAACCCCTTCGCCAAGCTCACCGCCGATGACTTCGCCGGCGACACTCCCTCCTGGTCCCGCTCCTTCTTCGCCTTCTCCCACTCCTACTCCTTCCCTTCCTCTCCCTCCCAAGCTCGCCTCCGACTCCAAGAAAACGTCAAGCGCTACGCCCGCAACTACGCCTATCTCTTCATCCTTTTCTTCGCATGCACTCTGTACGTTTTTATTTTTTTTATTTTTTATGTGTTTGTTTCTGAATTATGGCTCTTCTGTCTCTGAAATCCTAGAGCATGTTTCGATGACCTTTTCTATAAATATTTATACCATTAGAGAAGAAAATAAGAAGGGAAGATGAATTGAATTCTTCGTATGTTAGACGCTTAGCTTTTGTGCAAAATCTTTCATCAAACTTTTGTAATAGGTGAGGTGCATAAGACATAAGTTGACTTTAGGATAAATCATCTCGTTGGTTCTTCAAAGTGTTAAGCACTGTCAGATAGGTTTATGGGTTTCTTAGCTAAGAAAATTCCAATTAAATCTCTGAAACTGACATTTGTATTGTCTTAACTTGTGCATAAGCTAATTTTTAGAACTTTTCTCTGAAATCTGAACTACTTCGTGTCAAAAATGAGTCGCACGTTATTGACAGATTGCAATTCAAGAGTTTTCATTTTTGTTTTTCTTATTTTCAGAAACTAAGGTGATAGCATCCAACATTTTTAGGGATTGGATAGGTGATTTATCCTTGATTTTAACCGAGAGAAGCTTAATTCATTTTTCTTTTTTATTTTTCTTCTCAAGTGCTTTATGAATAAATTTATCCAAAGAGAGCCTTGATGTAGTTCTTCTTAAGTGCTTATGAAGAAATTTTGCCTTGCATATTTATAAGGAATGGATGTGGTTATTGACGTGCCCCGCTCTTTGGTGTGATGGATCTGTGTGTTTTGGTTGTTGTGGTTGCAGGTACAAGATGCCGGTTGCTCTTGTTGGGTTGATATTGTGTCTGGCATTGTGGGATTTCTTCAAGTTTTGTAGCCATAGATGGGGATTGGAGCAGTATCCCTTAACCCGCCAGTGCTTGGTTCGCGTCGCCCAATGTGGTCAGCAATCATTTCTTATTGGATGAATTTTGTTTTAACTTGCTGTTATAGTGATTTGATTATCATTTATTAACTGGTTTTTTTATTGGGAGTGAACCTAGATGCAGTTACTTAAAATATTTTTGGTGCTGTATTTTTTTTTTATTAGTTTTGAAGTTTTACCTAGGCAATTTGTGCAATAAAAGGTTTTTATTGAGACAAAACTTGTATGTAGTTTCTTGAGTGAGAAGGGAGAAGGGAATCAAAAGGCCCTTTGTTTTTAGTACTAAGAGTATCAACTGGTTTTTTTTTATTGGGACAGATGCATTTCTTTAAATGCTTTTTGGTGTTATTTTTCAATTAGAATAGAAGTTTCACCTAGATATATCAAGTAATAAGGATTTGCATGAAAGACTAATACAGGTTATTGAGGTGAGACTGCAATTTTAATTGTAAAACAACACCAAAAATACTTGAAAAACTACTAAGTTTTATCTTCTTTATTGGATTTACTCAAAAAACAAATTTGTGATTTTTCTTATGATTTGCTATAGTTTTCTTGGGTTACTTGGGTATTCATAACATCCAACATGCATTTATTGCCTGGACTTTGCTTAGGCTGTGGATTTACCGAATGCATAATCTTTCTTTCCCACCAATAAAGAACAAGAAATTCACTCTTCGTTTTCCTATACATGAATGGAAGTTTTTGAATCTGTTATGTATTTGGCCACTTAATTTAACAGAGAAATGTATTCTACAAAGCTCATGTGGCAGGGATGTCTTGTTCTTTTATAGCACAGTGGTTATGGAATATGGATGCTGGAAAAATATCTCCTAATTTGTTGTTCATGAGGCTAATTGGAGCTTTTTTTTTTTCTCAATCTCATCTTTTGCAGCGACTGCAGTTATTCTAATCTTTTCCAATGTTCAAATGGCTCTCTTTTGTGCCATATGCGTCAGCTATGCAGGTAAGTCTTCCTGCATATGCACTCTTATTACCTTGTTCCCTTACGCAACAGATTCTTAAGTTAAAAAAAAAATCTGTGTAGGTGTGATACTTCATGCTGCTTTTCGCAAGTTGACCCCTGTAAAGCAGCCTTCAGTGGGAAGAGGTAGGTAGTTGGTTAATCAAACAAACTCTGGTGCACTTGCAGTTATCCAGCACGTCTCCAGTGATTCAAGGGCCTTTGGTATAGAATTTTGTTGGGCTTACACTGTAAATTTTAAAGGACAAGTTTGTTACAGAAGATTGGGCAATGTAAAAAGGTTGGATTTTGTATTTGTTGATTAAAATTAATTATTTAGAATAAAATCTTTGAATTAAATATATAAATTATGAAGATGATTATTTATTAATTTAATCATAAAACTTGATTAGTTGATGCTATTGTAATTGAGCTTTGGTCTTGGGTTAGGCGCCACTCATTTTGGGTAAGTTTGGTTTGAATTTTGTGCTGCGGTTATTCACGTTAAGTGGAAGGACCTCCTTGCAGCTTCTACGTAAATTTGAGATTTGGCAAGAAAATTTATTGCAACATGCTTATAGACCATTGGATCAAATACGGATTTAGTGCAATCTTTGGTCAGATTTTACTCATCTTCTGTTTAAATCAGATTAGTCTAAGAGGAAGTCTTAAAATATTAGTTTAAAAACAAAAAAGAATACACATTTAATGTCAACCAAAAATTATCTTACTTTTAATCTTGTCAACCAAAAATAATAATTATCTTAAATAAAACATTTAAAAATTATTATTTAATAAATATTTTAATGATTTCTTTTTGAATGATAATAAGATATGTTCCTTATTTTTCTCTATTAACCTATCTTTTTATTTTTATTTTTAAGTTGAATTTTAATGTTCAAAATAACATCAATAACTAAATCAATTTGGTACCACAACATAAATTATTTACTATAATTTAAAATACAATTTATATGTCAAGAATATTTGTATATCATAAGTTTTAATTATAATATTTTTTAAAAGAATTTAATTATAATATAATTTATATATTTAAGATTATTTATTTATTATAAACTTTAGTTATATAATTGTTGTGTATTTTGATTATTTATTTTGTAATATTTTTACCCGCTCTTTCACCCATTTAAGTGAATGAAGAAAAAAAAATCATTTACTTATTTTTACCTAAATGAGTAGCATTTTTTACCTGCTCTTCCTTCACAGAAACAACCTTATTCGAAGGTAGGGCCTAATCCGAATATTTCAAATTGATGGAATGAGAAACATAAAAAATTTACTCATGCACTGCTTGAATTAGACACAATATTATTAATTTGGTGAAGTAAGAACAAGTCAGTATTCTATTCTGCATTGAAGCATGGCAATGGCATGCAACATGAGAGCGAGAAGAAGAGTGTACGAAGGAATGATCCAAAGCCCTTTCCAACGGTTCGTGCACTCGTCTCCACCCGAGCTGATCCAAAACCTCCTCAAGTTCCGAAGAGACAAGCCCACCCAACAACTGGAGCAAGCCCTCGATCAATGCGACCTCCACCTCACCCACGACCTCGTCCTCGACGCCCTCCGCCGCCACCGCTCCGATTGGCGACCGGCCCACGTCTTCTTCAACTGGGCCTCCAAAGCCCCCACCTACAGGCCCAACTCCGACGTCTGCAACCAAATCCTCGACATCCTCGGCAAAACAAAGCGCTTTCACGAACTCCACCAAGTGCTCGACCAAATGTCCAAGACACACGGACTCATCAACGAAGCCACATTCTCCACCCTGCTTCGCAGGTTTATCGCTGCCCACAGAGTCCACGAAGCAGTTCAGTTATTCCACAGGAGGAGCGACTTCGGCTTGGACCCAGGTTCGGAGCCTTTCCAAACCCTCTTGATGTGGCTGTGCAGGTACAAGCACGTCGAAGACGCCGAAGCCTTGTTTCACAGCGATCCAGCGCTTCGTCACGACATTAAGACATGGAACCTCATTCTCAACGGTTGGTGCGTGCTGGGGAACGTGCACGAGGCCAAGAGGGTGTGGAGAGACATAGTGGCTTCTTCATGCAACCCTGATGTGTTCTCGTATGGAACCTTCGTCAATGCGTTGACCAAGAAAGGGAAACTCGGAACCGCGCTGAGGTTGTTCCGTGGAATGAGGGAGAAGGGTGGTTGCAAACCTGATGTTGTGATATGTAATTGCCTCATTGACGCTCTTTGTTTCAAGAAGAGGGTTCCTGAGGCGTTGGAGATTTTCAGGGAGATGAAGAGTGAGGGGGGTTGTGAACCCGATGTGGCTACTTACAATTCGCTTGTTAAGTGCATGTGCAAGATTCGGAGGATGGAGAAGGTGTATGAGCTGGTGGATGAGATGGAGAGGAGGAAAGGTGGGTGCTTGCCCAATGCTGTTACTTATTGTTACTTGCTGAGGAGCTTGAAGGATCCCGGGGAAGTTCGCGGGGTTTTGGAGAGGATGGAGAGAAATGGGTGTGGCATGAATGATGATGTTTATAACTTGTTGTTGAGGTTGTATGTGAAATGGGATGATGGGGATGGAGTGAGGAGAACTTGGGAAGAGATGGAGAGGAATGGATGGGGGCCGGATAGGCGATCGTATACCATCATGGTTCATGGCCACTTTGAGAGAGGCAGGGTGAAGGATGCTGTGCGTTATTTTGAGGAGATGGTTTCCAAGGGAATGGTTCCAGAGCCAAGGACGGAGAAGCTAGTGAGTTCCTTGAAGATTCGGGTGAAGGGGAGGACAGAACAACAGGAAGGTATTGATGAGGGGATTGCTAGTGTTTGAAGTCTTGGGATTTGGTTCAATTGGAATGCTTGGACATTGTTTCATTTGAGCTTCGCAGCTTCAGAGTTGTGTTGTTGGAACTACATGTGATCAATTAGGAGAATGTGAAGGAGCACCTTGGCTGTAAAGCCTTAAATCATTGCAATGAAGTTTTTAGAATGATGAGGGGCAGGTCATAAATCGCTTGTGGAATGGCCAATGGCAGTAGTGTGTAACTAATGTCAAATTAGCATTAGCCAGTACCAGTTCTGCAGAGATTTCAGATTGAGTGGAGAGGTGTGCCAATTCTCCAACTGCTTTCACTACAACCGAATTTGCCATGTTCATACACGGAGCTTGAAGTGTCCTCGACCCTGCGCCAAGGCCAGCACGGTGCTGCAACTGCCACAGATTTTACTAATTGACCGCTTTCTGCCTTTTTATGTCCAAGAATTTTGACATTGTTGTCGATCCATTTCTTCTTCACCAGCTACTTGCAGAGGAAGAATTGTTTATTATTGACTTTGTCCGTGTAATGTATGTGGGAAGTCTTACATAACAAAAGTAATGTCTAGTAAATGAGGTTATGTTGATACAACATCTATACAAAATATAAATGTGAATAATTTAGGTGAAGAATAAGGCTTTTTGACTTACTTGATCTTATAGATGGACTTATATACAAAATAAATTTTTAAGAGCAACTCCAACATTAGTTTCTTACTATTGGAGAGGTGTGACGTGGCAGCAAGAGTTTCTTGCAGAGGAGAGAGGGTTGCTTAGTGAAGCAACGATTGCTTATTTTTGTGAACTGAAGGTGCGGTGGTGAGGCGCGCAGTTGGACAACGGAGGCGCGCGGTTGGACAACGGAGGCGCGCAGATAGACGGCGAAGGCGCGCGGTTGGACAGCAGAGGCACGCGATTGGACAGCGGAGGCACGCGGTTGGACAGCAGAGGCGCGTAAGTGGATGGCGAAGGCGTGCGGGTGGACATGGCGGATCTTCTTGGGGATTGGGGGGAGCCACGGCTCCCCCAAATTTTTCTAAAAAAAAAAAATTATATATATTTAATATTATATTTGTATAATTATTTTATAAAATAATTAGTGAATAATAATAAATTTTTGAGATTTTATTATCATGTATATTTAATTTGAGTAAAAAAAATGAGGAATATTTTTTTAATAATAAAAATTTTAATTTATATATAAAAAATTTAATTTGGCACCTCCAAAATTTTAATCTAAGTTCTGCCACTGCGGGTGGACGTTCCTGAGCTTTGCGCGAGTGGACGTTTTGCCTGGACCTGCGCGCGCGGCGGCGGTAGACGAAGTTGGAAGAAAAGGAAGGGTGAAGAAAAATGAAAAAAATCTCTCAAAAAGAAGAAAAAGAGACGTTTTAAAGAAATAAGAAATAAAAATAAAAATTTAAAAATTTAAAAATTTAAAAATTAAAAATAAATAAAAAATAACTTAAAAGTTTCGTGGAAGTAGCCGTTGGCATTTAAAAAAAATCATTATAAATATGCCTCAACTCAATTCAAAAATTTGGACCTCTTTAACTCTCTTCTACTTCTTTTATCTTGCTTGTTTTGCTCTCAAAAATGGATCCTAACCAATACAATCATCAAAAAAATTTAAATTCTTTTCAAAACCAACCACCATCGACGAGTGTAAATTCTCAAATTCCTCCGCAATATGTTATGTATCTACCATCTTATTTTAGTGAAAATTCTCAAAATCCACCACCTTATTAGTCAACACCACAATATTATATGTTTCCAACGACAAGAATCAACGAGAAAGGATGTAGAACGTGCATTTGGAGTGCTTCAATCTCGATTCGCAATCATACGAGGTCCGACACGTTTTTGGGATGCCACAATAATGAAAAATATAATTTATGCATGTATCATATTGCATAACATGATTGTCGAGGACGAACGAAACACCTATCAAAATTATATTGATTATGATGGTGTAGATGATGACATGTCAAGATCTGAAATATCTATAGGTGCTCATCCCAATTTTAGAACAGCATACCTTCAAAGGAGAGCAGACGTTCAAGACAAACGAATACACCTCCAACTTCAAGCAGATCTTATTGAATATATTTGGGAACGTTTCAGAAATAATAATGATGAAAATTAATTTCGTATAATGTTTATGTTTTTACTATTGCTTTATTTTATTTTTAATATCTACTTATTGTATATTTTTTCTCATAATTTATTTTCTTTTATTGTAGTGTAATTGTCCTTTTTAATAAAAAATTTTAATTTGGTTCATAAATGATTTGAAAAAAAATTCTAAAAGTTGAATTTCTTAAAGTTTCTTACAATTGGAGTAAATTTTTGTTTGAGTTGCTTAATGCTGACATGACACACTAGAGACCACTTTTTTCATTTTCCAATGCATGAGTTGCTTCCATTGGAGATGCCCTAAATTAGACTATACTTTTTGATAAGTAAAACCTTAAAAAAAAAAAAGCCAATAACATATAAACAAGACAAATATAGATTTAGTAAATATGTTGCAGATCAGTTTTAGACCCATAAAACATTGACCTAGCTAACCTACTTCCCACCCTACTAATGTTGGTTGATTATAAGTTGTTGGATATTAAAGTTGTTGCTTGTGAGACTTTGCAAATAGGTAAGAACATTTTTCTTTTTGGTATAAGAACGAAAACTATAGTACTCTACCAATGTCCTACCTTTGTCATCTTTAATTGTACATAATATATTACATAATTATTATCATATAAAAATATAGTATACAAAACTAAAATGTACAAATTAAATTAAATTATTAATTTAATCATTTAAAGATTTTTTTAGTATTAGTTAATTTTTTTAAAAAAATATTTGTCATATTAAATTCTTGAGTCGTTAAATAAAAAAGTCTTAATTTTAATTTTAATAATACAATAAAATAACTATTTAGATGTTATTTTGAAGAAAAAAAAGTTATTTAATATTATAGTTTTTTAATTTCCAAGTGAATGTCAAGAAAAATTTTAAGGTACTAATTAAATAAGCTTATATTTTTAAGGATAACTTATGATAATTTATCTATTAAAATGCATACTAACATAAATATATATATATATATATATATATTTCATATTATTATTAATAAATTACAAATAATTAACAATAGAGTTTAATTTTTTATACACTTAACATAAATATTTTTATATTTAAATATATTTTTAATCCCTCTAAAATAAACAAGTTTTAATTTTGATTTTTCTAATATTTTTTCTTTATTTTTCATTCCTATAAAATTTATAACTGTTGTTTTTAATTATGTTATTATATAATAATTTTAACTATTTATTTATTTATTGACATATTATTTGACCATCTCAAGTATAATACATAAATGTTAGTGATATCATGTAGTGATGGCATCCTAACTTGCACGAACTTGAGATGATCAACAAGGCTCATGATATATACACCTCCTTTTTTTTATAAGCACACCTCTTTTTTTAAAAAAATATTATAAAATATTATAATTTAAAAAAAAAAATTAATTTTACACTTTCAATTTGTTATTTTTTTCTTTTTATTCACACACTTTTTTTTTTCTTTCAATTTT